TATTGTAAGAATGGGCTACATGATACCCTTGTAAAAGTATTTTAAACTGTATAAAAAAAATTGAAATCAATTGTAAAGATCCATTCCTTATATAGGACGTTCTCTCCTGTTCCACCATGCTCCAATTGCTACTATATATAAGCAATTAATGATTATAGATGATCTGCACCGTATATACTGGTGAAATAACAACAACTTCCACTATGCTTAAATAGATCATATTGCAACATTGATCAACCAATAAAAATTGTCATATATCACATGATATGTTCGTATATGCTAAAAAAATTAAGCTCGTACATATGAGGACCCGCAAACTTATAGATAGGTTGCTGCCGAAGCTGGGTCAAATTCATATAAATTAAAATTTTTGAATTTTACAAATGTAACATCAAAAAGGTTGGTTGGATTTAATAGGGTCAAATCTAGTGGTCAACGATTTATTGTTATTGTATATTGTTTATAAAGTATGATGCGAATCACTTTTATTTTGGGAAAATTATTAATATAATTTTTGGATTTTTATTATATTTAAAATTGCTGAGTATAGGTGATTTGGACCATATACCAAGTAGAATATATACATATGCGTTGATTTTGTTTGAACCCCAAAATCCAGTACGGTATGATCATAACGTTATGAATACTTTATACTAGCAAAAACCCATTGGTTTTGAGGTGGGGCCATTGGTTTGACGGGTTGTTGAATAGTAAAATAGTTTTTTTTAGCGGAGCAAATATTTTTTTTAGGGTTAATTATCATTCTACTGACCAGTTTACACATTAAAAATACTCGTGTTTAACATCAAGACATAATAAGACATAAGGTTTGAAAAAAGGCCCAAAAAACCAAATCGGCTGATATGATGATTTCTAAGCTAAAAATGGTCATAGATCAGTATCACTTCGTAACTAATCTCCATTGTGTCATAGTTAATCAATTAATCATATATATTGAAATGATGTATTTTGCACAGTCAAATAATAATAACAAATATATTAATTAGTTGATTTTATTTCTGTGCATTAAATTAATAAATATAATAAATACATTATACAAGTTTTAAATAAGGTATCTTTTATTTTTTACCATACATTCTATCAATATCATCTTGGTATTTTTGTTGAAGATCCCTACGTTTAATTTTTTGTGCTGCTGTCAAAAGTCCCTATTTAAAAAAATAAAAATGCAATAATATAAATATAACAAACAATTAATAACATTAATAACGATGACAATTTTGATATTTTTCTTAATTACATTTTCAGCTGTCCATTCTTCATGCACTAATGTAACTGCAGATAACAATTCTGCGGGTTTAAAATCTGCTTTCTTTGCCTCGATGAGACAAGCTTGAAGTACTGAGTTTGTTATTTCTTTATTTTGACATAGCTTCTCAAAATCTGTTTCAGTTATGTTTTTTTCCTTTGCAAGTTTTCTGATTCGTGCTTCAATAGGAAAAATTAAAGCTACAGGACGTGACTGATATGAATCAGCACAGATACAAAGATTGGACACGAATAAGGTTGATTTATAAACTGATTCCAATCTTTCAAGTGCAATGTATTCACCATGAGCTAATTTAACTAAATTTTTCTTTCTGTCAATAATACTTAAACATCCATTTGGCTTCCATTCCCCAATATCACCTGTTTGTAGCCATCCATCTTCTGTAAATGTTTCTTTGGTCACTTTTTCATTTTTATAATAACCTGGTGTAACTGTAGGTCCACGAAGCCAAATTTCTCCCTGTGGATTAGGAGTATTTGTAGATTTATAGCCAGCATCTGGTACATCAACTAATTTTATTTCTGTACAAGGCACTGGTGCTCCAACACTGCCGTAGGTGAATTGTTCCGGTGTAAGGATTGTACCAGCCATACTAAAAACAATACAATACAATATAGAATCATTAACTATAATTAATCAGGATATTATTGTTAATTAATCACTTACTAAACTTACCCACAGGCTTCAGTCATACCATAACCTTGAAGTATTGGACATAAAGTTACACATAAAAATTCCTGTGTTTCTTTAGAAATGGGTGCACTGCCAGACAATGCAAGTCTCAACCTTCCACCAGTTTGTTCTTTTATCTTATTGAATATCAAAGTATCAAAAGGTTTGGTTGGTAATCCTTTTTCCATTAACCAACTTTTAGTCTTGAAAGCTACATCAAAAATTTTTTGTACAGCTGGACTACTTCCATGGACTTTTGAAAGAATGCCTTTCCTAATTGACTCCCATACTGCTGGCACACCAGTCATTACACTAGGTTTCAATTCACCCATGTCACCAAGACAATTTCTTACAGATGAATCTGTCAAAGTACGAGGTGTTCCATAACCTAAGGTAACACCCCACCAAAGACATACATGTTCCACACCAAATTCAAGAACATGAGCAAGTGGAAGGTATGCAAGAAGTGAATCATCCTCTTGAATTAAGTGTCCAAGCATTTTTTCAACACCGCCAACTAAATTAATAGAATGAGAAAAAGACATCAAATTTTTAATATTTAAAAAAAACTTTTTAAAGGGAAGGAACTTACTTGCTGCAACGAGATTAGCATGAGTCAACATGACACCTTTTGGATTACCAGTAGTTCCAGAAGTGTACATGATACAACATATATCTTGTGGTTGTGGTGGATTTGAATTTATTGGATAATTTTTGCCTAATTCTTTAAGTTCTTCCAATGTAAGGATTTTAAAATTTGGATGAGCATTTGACAATTCTTGCAAAATTGATCCATTTGCATCACCATCATAAATAATAAATTTAAGAGTTAAACATTTTCCAGCAACCTTTTTAACCATTGGGAGTAAATCTGCATTAGTAAATATTCCACTAACTTCTGCTTCATTCATTGAATGGAGAAGACCTTCTTCTCCAAGGGTGTCATATGCAGTCACAATAGTCATACTTTGTGAGAAACAACCTATGGATTAAAATGGTTTTGTAAGGTCAATACTTTATTACAATATTTTTTTATAATTAAATCTTGGCAAAATTTTACCATGAGTTACAAGCATCCAATTGGCACTAATATATATATATGTGACAAATAATAAGTATCATATATAAATATAAAAATATAATTGGATAATTTTTCATTACCTTGTAGCAGCAAAGATTGCAACTTTAGATCCTTTATTTAAACCTAATTTTATCAGACCAGCCCCGATGGTTCTAATTTCTTGATCCATATCATTATAAGTTAACCAATTGTAACCTGATAATTGAAAATATTTCCAAGTCTTCATTTCTTTTGTTTCAACCCCTCCAACAAATTTTGTGATTTCTTTTTCTTCTTCAACAATCCTTTCGATTTTTCTATAACCTAAAGCATTTTTACTATCGCCATATTTTTTAACACTACGTTGTACCACATCATAAAGAGTTTTAACGCCTTCTTCGGGTGAATCAATCAATTTATCAGGACTTAAATGGGAACGACGAATGCGACCTTCACCTTCAACATTAGTACCAATTTCAACACTCATTTTTAAGATTGAGAATTTATTTATTTATTTTTAATAAAGAAAAAAGGAATATGTGGAATACTCTTTGTTGTACAATCTTAGTTATCGATCACTAACATAATTTCTATATTATGGTCGATCTATTTATTCCTAAGTAATAGATATATTACATTATTAGGATTTTTTGATAATAATTCATTTCTCAAAATTAAACTATCATTAATTATTAGTAGTATACAAAAAAAAGAAAATATATATGGCATCTGAAGTAAACATGCAAGACAATGGAACAGGGAAAGCGAAGTACTTACATGAGAAAGTTTAAAAGAATAATAATAATAAATATATTTATCAATGGTACTCTACAAGTTGCTCAACTATCAGATCTATCAAATAAGCAATATATATATATGCACACACATAAGAGTTATAAAATAGTGATGATGTGATGTAATATAAAGTAACAATGTATCGGGCATTAATTCCAATTTTAAATGAGAATTGCTATTTCTCACCGGTGGTGATTGTAACCACCTAAGGAATTAAATTTGCATGGGGCGGAGTTAGGGTTAGGGTTAATCATAAGTTGCATAATTCCTTAGGTGGTGATAATCACCACCGGTGAGAAATAGCAATTCCCATTTTAAATCCCTTGAACAAATTAAAAAATTCCTTTAATTAGAAAAGAAAATAAAGACAACAATTTTCAGACGGTCTTCTAAAAACAGCTTTATCTTCCTTTAAAGAATATTAGAATAGCACGAAGGAATGCATATCTCATTAGAGATCAGAGAACTTGATGAGAGAGAACTTCCAAAAATTTAAATAGCTTTAATATTTACTCACTTTGATTTTCTTTCCATGTACGTATATGACGTATATATCTTTGTTTAAGAAAAAGAATATGCATAAACTTTAACAATAAAAATATAATTATCCCCTTGAAATAATAAAAGCACTTTTCTAGATAATGCTGAAATAAGGGATTAATCTTCGTGTAAATATTTTATAAATAGCGAGAGAAAATTACCAAGCATTGAATAGGACGTTACTATATCAGAACTTTAACAACAAGATACAGCAAGTAAAAGAAATATTAGGCATCAATTATTAGATTTCCATATTTAAACTTAGACACACTATAAAGAGTTGCAATAATGCTGTAAATGATTACAACACTTAAATCCCCAAAATCGAAATAAACGGCAAAAAATAATTTCGACTAGGAATGGTAACGGTTCAGCTCAAACTGGTTGAACGCGGTTTAATCAGTATGAAGCGCGATTGAATCAAAGTTTGGCAAAAGAATCGGGATGCGTGATTTTGATATTATGCAAAAAATGTACATAATTAAATTTAATATTATATCGTGTTTAGGTTTTAATGCTAGAAGTTTCCTCAATTAAAACATTATAATTTTTTCCGTGGTTATTTTGATTTCAAAGTTATAAAACGTTTCAAGATTTCGATTAAAATCAAGATTAACTACATAATACAAAAAATCCTGACAACATTAATTCGTGATCCATCAATGAAGGAAAGGATCAACATAGTAAAATTCGGGGATAAGTATCATAGTAATAGTAAAATCTATTAGTGTCCATAATCTGGAGTCGCTGTGGAAATAACACAATATTTTATATCTAAATTTCTACTTTAAATTTTACTAAATAAATCTCTGAGTTCCTGGCTATTTTTCTAATTTAAATTTATAGAAATAGCTCTAAAATTACATAATATATATATGAGGACCAGATCGGTTTGTTTTTAGCTTGGAAAGAAATTTTGATTTAATACAACTCTTATATGTAATTTTTTATGCAGAACATTTCTGGCTTAGAAACAATATCCACTTTGCATAATAAAATTCTGAGTTATTTTCTTTTAAAGTTTCAAACAACAAAAATGTGAAAAGATCTGCATAATAAAAATTAATATATTAATATATATTAATATTAATAACTTTAACTGCTTCTCATTTCTAAAATTTAAAAGTGAGCAAATGACCAATTTTTAATGTAAAACTTATAACTATTGAATGAAACAAAAATGAAAATTACAGGTATGAATTTACATATCTGAACATGTATTTGTATTTGTATATTGTTATGACAAAAATTCATTCTTGCTTACTATAATTGCATCTCGAAATTATTTTATAAAAAGATCAAGGTTTTGTTATGGAGAAATTCAACATTTAGAGTTTTAATGTTATTTTTTAGTTGATATTAAAATGTTTTATATTTATTTTTGACACATTCTTATGTTTTCCAATAATTTATATATGTAAAAAATATGAATTTTATACCCATAATCCAGGACCGCTGGTTAAATAACAGGAAACTGACAAATTTAACAGCTCATATTTTCATAAGTAAATATAATATTTAACATCTCAACTCCAGGCTTTTGTTTTAAACTGGTTTCTGATGTATTAAAGCAATATAGTAATTATCAACTTCACCAAGCAGTTGAAGTACTTCAAAAATTGTAAGACAAAGGCATTATCAAAAGCAGTGATCATGAGGCAGTTTCACAATGGAACCGACTCGAACCGGTTTCAGAACCGAACCGTTCAAGCATCTGAGCCGACTCAGAGTCAGTTCCATTACACAAAAATCAAGAAAAAATTATAATAACTCTAGACGTGATGGATAGTTGATTTAATAATATTCGGTGACGAATAACATAACAAGGATACATGACGAATAAGGCACAAAAAAAGTAGTTATTTACATTAGCATTAGTATTAGGATTCTGTTCGGATTTATTTTATTCATTATTATTATTATTATTATTATTATTATTATTATTATGAATTCGAATAAACAATTCGAATAAGAATTTATATTATGAATAGAAACACCAATTTATATATCATAAAAAATTGGACGATTGATTATTTTTCAATAAATTGAAATTGATTTCAATTTGTATAAATATTAGTTCATTGAATCACGATTTTTTTATAAAAAGGTAGGTATCCACCTAACCAACTCAAGTTTTCTCTCTTTGATATAATTAATAATCACCAAGCAATAAATAAATACTCATATTGTTGTTGTTACTGGAATTAGGATTTGACGCTGATTTATTAGCCGAAATACCTAATTCCGAATTAAATAATTTTTATTATTCATTTATTTTTTTTTATTAATTTAGTATTATAACCAATGTATTCCTTGCGATTATAATAAATTTCATTCATTCAATCTTCGTAAGGATCTTCATCATAAGGTAAATCGTCTGGTATATCTTCAAATAAAACTCTTCAAGAAAAATTAATTCTTCTTTTTTAATTAATTCCTCTCCTACTGATCTATGTTTTTGAAAGACAAATTCAATTTCTTCTTCTTCAGTCAATCCTTGGAGATTGCAACTTCTTTTTATATGACTCTTATTTCCACATAATAACAAACTTTATTTTTGTGAGAATTCCTGGTTGATTCTACTGATTGATAATGTAACTGGAATAATTGTTGGGGATTTCTGTAGAAATATTTGAAAACTAGATCAATTAATTGTAGATCTTTAATTCTTCTCTTGAGAATTTTTTTATAAACACAAGCAAAAGTTTCTGATTTAACTAATTCCGAATTCTGTTCTTTTAATTGCATTTACAATTTTCAAATAAAAGTAGGGTAAGTAAATAAATTGTGAAAGATAAAGATAAGAAATGAAATGAAATAAAAGAATATAAAAAAGAGATAAAGGAAATATAAGATGAATAAAAATCCATAGATTGTAAATTTTGATCTTCGTTTTGTTAACTCGCACCAAGTTGTCACCAATTATGTTTTGAGAGTGTGTATTTAATTGATGATAACGAATGTAATTTATGATTATGTGGATCAGAATGAATTGGCTATTACTAATGAATAATTTTGGTTTGGTGATTTGATAAAATGTTTTATTTAGTTGAAATTAATTTATTAACTTATTACTAAATTAAAAAGTTATTTTACAAGCATGTCAAATTCAAGTTCTTAGTAGATATTTCAGAATTAAAAAATCTCATCTGTATGATGAGTTATAACCGTTTGTTTGAGTTTATGAAAATGATCGACAAAAATCTCTTATTATTTGATTTCCTCTATGCTTATATCTAACACCCAATAGACTATGCTTACGAAATTTGTGTATATGTTTTGAGTAACTTGTATAAATAAAAAAGCATTTTCATCTTGATTATTATGATCAATTATTATATTTAAATATGACTTCTGTAACGCTTGTGAATTTTAAAAGTTCAGAATCAAATGAAGATTCTGATGATAATCCTTTTTTACCACGCTTATCATTCTCCGCGGGATTATTATCATTTGTAATTTTATTTGGTTTATATAGATACCTTGCGGTTATTCGAACTAGACAACATAATTATTCTTTACAAAACAAACCTTTTATAACCAAATTTGTTAACATATTAAGCGCTTTCGTAATTGTATCATATCTATTAGATTGTATGCTTGTTATCATTAGAGCATTAGAATCTAAAGTTTGGACTAGTACTTTTATAGTTTTATATGATGTTATCTCCTGGCTCGCTTGGGTGATAAATTTATCTCTGATAATTTTAGAAAGACAAAAATTTGGTAAATTGTCTTGGGTCAATCTTACTTTTTATTTGTTTTCCAATATTACAGAAACTTTGATTTTTGTGTATTGGTACCTTCAATTCAAACATTCGAAACCAGGTATATATCTCTATATTCATAAATTTTATTAAAGTGGTTTTTTTTTAATTTTTTAGTTTTTAATCAAATCCAATTAAATGTTATTTAATCTTTCAAATTTTCAGAAAACGGTTATTCTATATACGATAAAGCATTTTTTATTTTATTTATTGCTCGTTATCTTGCAATTTTCATTACTAGCATTTTATCATTAATAGAGGTTTTTAGTAAACCTGTTGACTTGGATGTTGAGAATGGTAGTAATAGGTCATTGCTCGAGAATTCAAATTCTTATGGTACATTTCCATCAAACGAGAATGAACCTCAAGCAACAAATCAAAGTAG